AGGCCCCGCTGACGCAGCCGCTCTGACTCACCGGCCCCCGGGGCCGCGTCGGCATGCTGCGCACAGACCAGCTGCGCACGGACCAACGCGCACAGCCTGCCCTAAATCTTCCCATGTATATAAACCAGCCTCTGCTGCCCTAGGGACCTCAGTTTCGACCTCTTGTCCCTAGGTCAGTAAGCTCTCCTGTACTTACTTCTTTTACTTACTAACTAATACATTCTTGTCCCTAGCCTTAGGTTTGAGCACTGCTCACCATCGCTTTGGTGAGATCTAGTCGGACGCCCCCAGCCTTTCAGTTTTCTCTAGTCGCTTGACCTCAAGTCGCGACATTAGGTCGAAACTCCCCAAGCTGCCGGCGTCCCCTCGGGACCCCTTATATTCACTTTCCTTTCCCACAGGTCGGGTGGTGCGCACCCCTACGGTACATTACGATACGTAGATAGCGTACATACATCGCCACCACTTAGGGAACGAACTCTTCAGTACCTGCACTTCAGTGGGCGGTACTTGTCCTCACGGACACGTGGACTAGGTTCCTGCTGCATAATAGTCAAAAGCAGTACTGGGCCCCACGTGAACTGCGAACCCTAGTGTCTTCTTGGGCGCCGTAGCGTAAGCTAGCATAGCACGGCCATTGTAGTACGCGCACCTCCCCGTCCTCCCCCCATCCAACGTGGCTGCCTGCCAAGGCCAGATCCACGCATTCGACTCCCAGGACCTCATCGACGTCTACATCCCCGACGGCCCTGAGACTGTCCTCTACCGTTGCGACCAATAGCCGTGCCCAAATCGGACACCCCGATCGATCGAGGAAGATTACCCTCGTTACAAGGCGATCCGAAGAGCGCAACACCCGCTTGGACCCCGAAGTACCCTCGCGTCTCGATCGGCCTCGCGGCACTCTCGCCCTGTCTCCCCTACCTCCCGCCTCCCTCAAACTGTCGTCGATCAAGCTAGAGGAGATTTCCCTCCAGACCCTGCGCCAGAGCCAGAGCCTGAGGAGGGTGCGGGTGAAGAAGGAGTCTCGGAGTCCGAGTCCGAGGATTCTGCTCGGTCCGCATTGCCGACAGCACTCGCCCCTGTGTCAGCAGTCCCTGACGTACGTGACCCCCCCGCCAAACTTTCTTCGGCACCTTCACCGCCGACTCCACCGAGAGGCCGCTCGAGCACTCGTTCCTCCCGAAGTTCGACCGGCGGAAGGCCACCACAGCCGCCTCCGCCCCCGCAGCGTCCTCCGTCCCCCCCGACGCCGATAATGTCGTCCCCCGCAGCCGCCCTCGACAAGGAGACGTTAAAACTCCTCCTCCCACTCCGATACGATGGCAAAACCGTCATCGATTGCGACAGGTTCCTGTCACAGCTGCGCATCTACTGGATGGTCAACACGTCGTTGACCACCATCGAGCTCAAAGTACAGGTTGCGCTCAGCCTACTCGATGGTGATGCCCGCGCCTGGGCCACCCCCTACTTCGCCCAGCTCGTATCAGTGCAGATAGGTGTGCAAGGGGCTACGACCCCATTCGCAAACGAAGCGGCCTTTGCCGTCGCCTTCAAGGCCCACTTCGGAAATCTCAACGACGAGGCGGCAGCACAAGTGGAGCTGGCGAAGCTCTGCGCGGACAAGTCGGTCCGTGAAAAACGCACCGCTGCGGAATTCTCCGCGCTGTTCAAGGGTCCAGCGGACCACTCTGGGTATGGGGACCTAGAGCTACGCGACAAGTACCTGAGCGGCATCCCCTCCCGCGTATACCGAAAGATCGAGCTCGAGACCTTCACCACGTGGCAAGACGCTGACAAGCGCGCCACTGAGGTCGAGCAAATCCTCGACATTAGCCGGGCCCGCCGGCCCGAGCTAAATAGCTTCTTCTCGGCCCGAGGTCGAGGACGCGGTGGGGCACGTGGTGGTGCACCCTCGACGCACGCAGCTTCCGCCAGCATCAATACGGCCGTCGGAAAAGGCAACTTCCCCGGCACATGCTTCGGCTGTGGGAAGCAAGGGTACCGACGTTTCGAGTGCCCCAATTGTAAGGACAAGCCTTACACAAAATGCGCTGACGCGCGGGCTACGGTTGCCTCGGGATCCACCCAGGCCGCGACAAGCGCCCCCGTCACGACA